AAGCAAGTTCATAGGGTAAGCTCAGTTTAGGGGTTGTTCTACCTATTCTCAAGTTGCCCTTTCGCTCCCTTTGCAGTTAGAAGTGGGATCGTTAGAGAAGACACGAATAATTTTTACATATGGGATTGCATTCGTTGAAAAGACTTCGTCACGCCTTTGTAAATGAAATTCACACGAAGCTTTTTTCAAATTTTCTCCCTCATCGAAAGACGAACGCTTTTGAAATTCTATTTCACAACACCCTCAGCGATGCCCTTAAAAAGAGCTTGACGAAAGTGTTCTGAGTAGTGACGTTCCTCTCTAGTCTTTTCTTCATTTCAAGACCTCCGTTAAGTATATCTAAAATTTGAATATACTTACTTCCACGGGGACCTGTTTTCAAGTCATAGTTAGGTGCTCATCAGCTAAGGAATGTTGATGTATAAAAGACGAGGATACGAATATTTCCCTTTTTTTCCTATAACTACAATTTCCACATGGTTCATGTTCACAGTTAAATACTCTAGGTTGGCTAAGAAATATTAAACATCTATTGAGTAACACACGTCAGTCTTGAAAATTGGAGTATGTATTGTTGCTTCAAGCACTTTTCAACTCACTCATCAAATACCCGGAGAACCATTCGACAAATGTCTTGATTGTACCAGGAATTAACGTCCCCTCGACGGCGTCATATGATTTTTTACTACCAAAATTCTAGTTCTGTGACCACACGTGGCATAATAATCGTGTTGTCCATACTCTGACGTTCTCTGCATTGCCTGTCACTCGATAGGTAAAGGCGCACGGCTCGCACAAGAAATCGTTTTACTGCCACTTTTCCGAAGTTTTAGCCGACATGATCAATGGAAATCTTTACACAGGTAAATGATCTTTTAACACTACTGTTATGATGGTATCATTCCGGTTGACCCTTCAACAGTCTTCTTCGACAAAGAAGAAGTACATAATTTAGTTGTTAGTTGTTTACACTAATTTGTGATCAATTTTTCTGTTAGTTGTTAACACCAAGTTGCAATCACTTTATGATTGTCTGTTATATGTTTTTCGGTATCATTATGCACGTTTGGAGACTATGAGACATAATCCGATGAAGAGTATGGCACCGACTATAATGGAAAGTATGAGTGCATTCACTTCGTCTTCAGTTCTGATCACCGAATTCAAATGACTAAAATTGCAGTCAGCATCTTCGTTCTTTGGAGGTTCCATTGCAGGCACGGTGACCGCTCTACTGTCTCCCTTCCCACTGAAAACGGTATGTATACTATTTTATGATGCCAGCGTTCTTATATCTATAAACTTTTCGGTTTTTCAATGAGCCTGTCTATTAGCACCAGAATATACATTGAAGGCTCTTACACGGTACCATCGCGGTGCCCCTTAACAGCAAGAGTAGCGAGCTCAACAACGATTGAAGATCAGAGCGGCATTGTCAGACATAATACGTTACAGCATATACCAGTGATTTGAAAACACGCCAAATAAGAAATGGGCTCCAGTGGTAACCACCGGATTAGGTGGAACTGGGAACTATGAAGTCGGACATAAAGGCGTGTTTTGCAGCATTCCTCATTGAAGTGTAGAACAAGGAAACAAGGAGGGAAACTAAGTAGACACGGGTAATCCCTCACATCCGCCATACAAGGATGACAGTGGCGTGGTTCAGAATCAGAATTGGGTAAAGAACGGTGAGAGAACTGGAACGCTTTCTGAGAACCCTTCTCGGAGGACCCTATTTCTGTGCTGTTGTCCTTACTTTGCAGTTGAATCCAGAGGTTGTAGAACGGGAAGACGTGAACGGGGTATTTGTTTGAAAACATTTGGATATCACACTATATCCAGCGATGCAATCACTTTTGCCCGGTCAATTTACATTTGCAATAGCAGCATCGCTTTCATCATGATTTACCACCAGCGAACTAGCGACCTGACCGCAAATCCCTTTCTCACCCTGTTCAACCAGGAGTGTGCTGTCGAAGAAAGCTGCACTATGAGCTCGGGGAAAAACTACCCTTCTGCTTCGATTACACCCTATATTATCTCCTGCAGCACCTATTCACCTTTCTGCAGCCTGTCCTGGAGATCCTGACTGCCCTGGCATGGGGGTGAACCAGTGTGAGCTTATCAGTGACCCGTGGTGAGTTGGACTTTCCATCCTGCATTTGTTCTAAAGTTGAAGTTGAGGTTGAGGTTCTGATAGCCTTTCGGAGTTGCCAAAATCTGGTCTTTGAGAAATCTGCCTGCTGGTATCTCTGCTTGTGGGAACTCTGCACACACTCAGGGAGGCGTATGCCATTGCTAGACCACTGCCAATGACATTTGCCTGATCTCGTAACAAGTAGATTGATTACCTGCACAATTTCGAAACATGGAGAATCCGTGCAGAATCAAGGGCAACTGGTAATCACTATGTCATAAGGATACTTACCCTTTAGAGAATGTTCCCGCCCGACCACCTCTACCAGCCATTTAGTATAAATGCTGGTCCTACTCGATTTCACCAATCGGTTGATAATATCACTATCAAGAATGATTCCGCCAATCCGCACAACTCTTTATCTCAGTAAACAACTTCCCAGTATTTGTCGCATCAGGGAATCAAATGGCAGCATATTTTACNATACTTACCCTTTAGAGAATGTTCCCGCCCGACCACCTCTACCAGCCATTTAGTATAAATGCTGGTATTACGCTATTCCACCAATCAGTTGATAATATCACTATCAAGAATGATTCCGCCAATCCGCACAACTCTTTATCTCAGTAAACAACTTCCCAGTATTTGTCGCATCAGGGAATCAAATGGCAGCATATTTTACAACGATTGGGATTATCTTAACCAAAAACGCTACTCGACGTAATGCTGCCTTTGTGAGAGGTGGTTCCCAGATCGGAAGCCTAACAAACAACCATCAACTGTAAACCGCTGGTAACGGGAGGACTAGTCTCAAAATATGGATTCTTTATCGATCTAATTAGGTTCTGACGTTGGACGAGATTACAAGAACAATAGGAGTGGCACACTTTGAACTTGAACTCCTACAGCACGCGGTAATAATTCCGCGACAGTTACCATAGTCACTCTCAACGAAACAAGTTTCGCTTCCCTTTCTCAGCGATGGCAGACGGCAAGTAAGCCGTAAGGATACACGACCCCACATAATTGGACGAGATTCCAGTGGTTGCAGAGCGATCTGAGCAATTGCTCAAGGGATTACCTTTACAATGGGCGTGTTTTATTTTGAACGATGCGCAGCCACTATACGGCGTCAAACGCGTCCTTTTTTTTAAGAATATTGACGATTAGCAGGCATCGGGGTAGATCTTTGAGTGCCTACTGCGCCTCGCCTAGGCGGAACCACCGACGAATTTATTGTTGTCTTGAAGAAGTGATGAAAATGTAGTAGTTGGGAGGAGAGGGGGGGGGGGGGCACCCATCCAAAGGTTAGTATATAAAGAAACGAACTCAGTCTCACGTGTTTATCCTTTAGGAAGCGCATTGGAAGGCGTATTTTGTGATGCATTAGTTATGTGGTAATGTTGCGCTAAGGAAGAAACTTTTGTAGCAGTCCGCATGAAGAAATGATTAGGAGACAGCGAAAGTTTTGCAAAATAAGGTCGTCCTTATCATAGTCGGCTTTGACGCTATTTGTTTATGTGCAATCAGTCTCCTACCACAAACTAGAAAAATCATCACCAACCAGCCCGAGGTCAGACGAGCGAATAGAACCATCTGATGTTCCTCTGACATGTGATCTCAACAATAAAGAAAACCACCATGTGATCGCGCTTCATATTAACGAGCCGCTGTGAACCATAAAATTTCGTAAGTCTGCTGGATCTGAGTGATATCATCGGGAGGAAATGTGGCCTAACAGTGACTGATGATGACCGACTACCAAGTTTCCAAGTCTTTCTGTCTCTCCAGTACCTGCATTCCTTTCCATTTCATGTAATTGTTCTACTCAGACCAGAGTTATCGAAGCGAACTGGGCACCTATGTCATGATCTAAGGTACAGAAGCGCTATCGTCAACATGACACAAACGTGCTTCTCAGGCTTACTTTTAATTGTTGATACCTCATTTGCAAGAAGCTTTTGTATATCACTAGCTTTCTCACAATCATCGGAGTTTTCGCGGATGGACGGACATACAGATAAATATGCGGATCGATAGACTGGTAACACATCAAGTTACTGTTTTGTATATAAGAAGGACACCACCCTCTCCGTAAGCCTGATCCAAAGTGGCTAAAGTATAAAAGCAATTACAAGCAACTCTAGTGCATGGAGTTACGATAAAATGCTTTAAAACGCGAGATGAGTAATAAAGTTGCATGAAAGATAAAGCAATTAAAACTAACGTGGTTTGACGTTTATCTCGTTTGGCACCCCTGAAAAAGCAATCAATAGCTTTTTCTATTTCTTTCTTCAAAGGATTGAGAATGAATCAGATATTAGAAGCAACAAAGTATCTATCCCACTATGGTGATACCCTAAAATTCCATAGATAAGAGCGGTTGGAACTACCGGTGAAAAATGAAT